CTCCAGCTCACGTTCCGGGCGAGAGGCGGGGTCACCTGGACGGGTCAACAGAACCTATAAACTTATATTCAGTTTAGCGCCAGAAACGTTTAACTCTTTGAAATTTCTGTTTCAGACTTAAGTTATTAATATTTTTAAAAAGTCTTGATGAATAAGAATGGATTATGTAGCAGTAAACATAAACACCTCAGACCCAGACTGTGGTTCTGTTCTGTTCTGATCCAGTTATTGTTCAGTTAGTTTGCAGATCCTCATGTTCTCAGAGCTGATTGGACGATCTGATCTTTAACCTGCTGGTTGTGGATTTAGATTCTGGATTATTTTATTAGTTTTGGAAACAAAATGACAAAAATACCTTAAAACATTTTCTTGTATAAACACTAAATATGGTTTATGATAGACTTTATGATTAACAGTATTTAATGACCTAAAACAGAAACAATTCATAAAATCAAATACTTTTGGAAAATCTTTTTAATTAAAACATAATAAACTTGATAATAAAGTGACGGTTATAAAACTATTTGTATTCATGTTGGTTTGATGTAATTTTTTATTTTAAAACAATCTGACCAGAAATAACAGATTAAACTTCAGCTGATTTTGTGCTAAAGTTATAAATGAAAGTTTAAAGGTCAAAGGTCAGCCAGTCGTCCCTGGTTGACCTCCTGACCCAAACAGCTTCTCTTCCACTTCCATCAAATCTAACAAAACTCGTGTCAAACTTTTCTGGAACGTTTTGAAACATTTTGAAGATATTGAAGAAACTCCAGAATTTCTGCATTGAAGAAACATTTCTACATTCTAACGACGATTTAAAGGACGGTAAGTTTGTGTTTTATGATTTTTAATATACAGGATTGATGTGAATGAGCTGAACATCATCTGCTCTGATTTCTGCTTTCTGAACATGTTGGTTGACCTGCTGACCTCAGATGATTCAATAATCAGCCCAGAGTTATTTTACAAGTTATTACAATAAAAACAGTGAATTTATGAGTTTATTGTTCTGACTCCATGACATGAACATTATCTCTCAGACAGAAATTAAACCACACATTAATATGAAAACTGACCTGAGGATTAAGCAACAAACATGCAGCTTTAAGCAACAGCAACAGGATCAGACACTGAACCAGTGAAACCAGTGAAACGTTTCTGGTTGGACTGGAGAAATGCTGCATTAATACCATAAATATCTGAAAAGTAACAAATAAAATGATTCAGACACTTTCAGGAGGAACATTTAACACAAACAGTTTAGTTTCTGAAAACATGTAAAACACACATTGAGTCAGATTTAATAAGTTATAATTTACGTTCAGATTGTTTCTCAGATTAAAAGTATCTCTTGTAAATTCACTTTTCTGCATAAAAAGGTTTTTTAGTGGCCTTATGTAATATTAATCTTCATTGTTTTCACTAAGCATAAAATAAAATCACTATTAGGTAGAAAAGCTCAGAAACATCAACCTGATTAATCTATTTCTGTTTGAGTTACTGAAATAAATGAACTTTTCAATAATATTATAATTTAAGGAATACGACTGAGTTTAATGTAGCAGATTCTCTCAGTGAAATAAAATAAATCAATTAAAATCTTAATCATTAACTCAGTTCAGTAACAGAAAGATGAAATAAAAACATTTTAATTCCAGATGAAACGTCTAAAAGTTACAAACTGATCCTGATGCTAAACTGCAGCCCAGTTTAATTCAGTTCCTATAATAATGAAGCTTTCAGTCCAGTTTGGACGGGTTCTAGATCGGTTCTGTAACGGTTCTGGTTCTGTAACGGTTCTGGTTCTGTAACGGTTCTGGTTCTGTCAGGCCTGGTTTGGTTCTGGTGAAGGACCAACAGCTGACAGTTTGGGTTTCCTCTGCTTGGTGAAAGTCAGTCAGTGATTCTGGATGAAGGATCTGCTGAGGTTCTGGATCCATCATCCTGCAGGTCAGACTGGATTCACTGCTCATCTGGTTGGTTCTGATCCGTTAAAGGCTGCTGAGACTGAGGTGGTTTTTCAGAACTCTGGTTTGAGTTTTGACTTTTATCTTTTTTATGAATGAAACATGCAGCAACAGAAGCAGCAATAATAATAATAACTAAAGCTAATAGACCAACCGACACACCAACCACCAGACCTGATCCGTCTCTGTTCCCTCCACCAGGTTCACCTGCAGAACAGAACCAGGTGTTAGTTTGATGTTCAGGTAGAAAATGACTGAAGATCATCATCTGATCTCAGACCAGCTGATTTCTAGACTCTCAACTAAAACATCTTTAGAAAACATCAAAAGAAAAGTGATGATGTGGAAACTCTGAGTTTGGAAAAAATCCTGGATTGATTTCCTGATCATCACCATGGTAACACCTGTGTGCATGACTTCATGCCAGCAGCTTTTCTCTTCATCAACCTGAAGTGACGTCCTTTTATATCCCTAAACTTTGGCTCTTTGAGTGGAAATATTTTAAGCTGAAGGATTATTTTCTTCCTACCATCTTAACTCTCATTCATTCATTTATCAATTATATTATTAGTGCTGGCTGGACTTTCTAAGGCCATCAGGGCCACAGTTATGTATCAATACATCTTTCCTTCGTGAGCTGACTGAGTCACAGGGTTTTTCTTGCCGTCCTCCAGAATATCCGATCATATCAGGCCTTTTATTTAAGGCCATCATGTCTGGATTCTGGATTCTGGTTTCTGGTCTCTGCAGCTCTTCAGCTTCCTGTCATGGTGAAAATCACGAGGAGGATATTTATTGTCTCGTTTTGTCAAAGAGACGTCGCCTTGGAGGAGTTCATCCAACTACTGGGTTTACGTCTCACTGCGGTGGTTCTGGTTCTGATCTCCAGCCATCGGATCAGAGCCAATAATTCTGTTAAATAGCAGCTTCTACTTGATTTCTGATGAACTGAAACTATTTAGCCGTGAGTGGAATCAGAACTGAAACATGTTTTGTTTGTTCTTTGGTTAAAATGAATTGGATCATAAGCAACATTTTAATAAATGTCCAGTATGCGAGTGATAAAACCTATTTCAAAATATAAAGGCCAATTTTATACTAGATTAAACCACATAGTTTCTATTTGACTGAAGTTCATCAATGTGACAGGATGAAAACTTGAAGCCTTGTCAGAATAATAATATTTTTTCTATTCTGTTTCACCTCCAGTCAGTGGAGGCTCCACAGATTCCCACTGTGCGACAGAACCTGGTTCTTATCCTGACCCAATGAGGCCCACAGCATGACTACACCCTGGCCCCTCTGTTCCAGGCCCAGCGGGCCCTCAAGGTCACTAGAGGTCACATGACATCACTGTGACGTCCATTAATGCTCCTGTTGGAGGAGACCTGCCCCCTGCTGGACAGACTGGGAACACCAGGTCGTCTCAGCTCAGGTCCAGAATGAACAGAGATAAATTAGAGATTATTTTAAACATCTCTACCATCATAGAGAAATCAGAGAAAGGAACCTTGTTCCACCTGAACTGGAGCAACAGGATCAGAACTTTATGACCCGGTTCCCTGTTTTTCTGTTCATAATCCAGATTATCTAAATGTTTTCCTCACAGAAATCCTTTATTAATAACCGGTTCATAAATGGATGCAAACAGTTTCAGCTGCATAATTAACCTGCAGAGAAACTCTGCATATTATTGAAATGTACAGCTTATTCAGCAACAAACAATAAGATCATCTTAATGCTGAGATATTAGCAGAGGGAACTGTTGTGCTTCTGTTGGAGGTTCGAGTTACTACGGAGTGCATCTGTACTGCAAGTCTGTAAAACATTAAATTATTTCATCTGAGTATTTTATTTTAGCTTTAAACTAATTTATCAGTTATTAAAGTGATGCTGTTTAACTTGTTTAGAACATATTTTCTCTTTCTTAAACTATAAAGCGCCATTCTAACACAAAGCAGTCCAACGTGCTTTATGTGACATTAATGGAAAGAAAATAACAAAAAGAAAATTTCAGTCTTGATCTGTAACTGTGAATGGTTGCCATGGTAATTCCAAGTGTCATGACGTCGTTTCACTGCAGCGGTGAAAGTTTTTATAAGAATTGAGTCAGAAATCATCAGTTTTTAACCAAAATCTGATGATTTCTGCTCAGGGGAAGTGAACTGAGACAGGAAGAGTTTAGAGAAAACTCATGACAGGCAGCCGGTCAGAAGGTTCTGCTGGGTTTAGTTTCCTCCACAGAATCAGTTTCCATGGTGACATGCTAAATGCAGAGGAATTATCAGTTAACATCACGTTCATACATTATTCTAACTATTTAAATTATTTTGTGGTGCCTGCTGGTGTCAGAGGTTTTATTTTATCTCACACTACCATCCTGCTGCACTTTCATTTCTAAAGGTTTAGTTTATCACCTGCTTTGATGGCTGCAGCTAATTTGGACCAAAACACAAAGAAATTGTTGTATTTTATTTGTTCTTTGCAAACAAAATATTAATTCTGTTCTTGGTTGATTTTTTAAGGAAACCTTACATTTTTGTAAATCCCCATCATGGAGCCCTTGTTCACCACAGACATTTTATCCAGAGGTACTCAACGTTCCTCACTGAGAGCTGATGGGTTTATCATGAACAAAGTTGTTTTAATATTACTGCTAATTGAGGTTCGGGTCGTTTTGTCCTGGTATTTATCCACTCAGCTGCATGTGATGCGTTCGGGTCACTAATGGATCACTAAGGTCAGTTTGGTAGCAGAACTTATTTTATCATGCTGTGATGGACAGTTGTAGTATGCCAATAACATGCTAGCTAATGTTGAAACAGAAAAATAAATGCAGGTAACTATGGCAACCACTGACGGTTTAAAGGTCGATTGGCTCTTTCTGCAGGTCAAATAATCCCTCCATGTATTTTTATGGAGGGGAAAACCTGGAGTGTTTCCAAACTCAGAGTTTAATCAACTTTCTGAACTGATTCCCTCTGACATGACCAAACAGGAAGCTGCAGAAAAAGCCGACAACGACTCACCTGGAGATGTTTCTACATCCAGGTTTATGGTGAAGACAGTGTCTATCTTTCTGTCTGTCTGAACGACTCGACATTTATAAGCTCCTCTGTCGCCAGTCGTCACGTTCCTCAGAACCAAAGACACGTCTCCATCCTTCATCTGTTGGTCCAGCAGATCCACTCGGTCCCTAAACGATGGATGCTGGTTTTCTGTGTTAATCTTATTATTTCTGTACCGAAGAACATATTCTGATCTCAGATCAGTTCTCCTCCACTCAACAAATAAAGCAGGTTTATTATCGGGAGATGTGCAGGGCAGACGCGCGTCCTGTCCAGGTTGAGCTGTGATGTTTGTCTGATCTGTACGACAGGAAACAGAGCAGAGAAATTGCAGCATTTTCATCAGATTAGTGATGCTGTGAAGACCAGGGGCCACAACATAAATCTATATAGTCATACAGTAGAGAAGGACTACAAATCCCAGAGAGCACAGAGTTAAACAGTGGAGATATCAGTGAAATCAAGGCTGTTCAGCTTCACGGCTCCACAGATGATGATGGATCCACTGATGTGAAGACGCTGACGATGCTTCACCCCCATGCATCATGAAGGCTCCACATGGTGGATATAAACACTCCAAACACATAATAAATGTCTCAAACCAACAGTGGACACATCAGATCTGAATGATGTTCACCAATTGAGAATGTTTGGTCTTTAACAAGTTAACACATTTCCTAGATAAGGTCCCTGAAATCTCCCAGCATCCTTTGCTCTACACCGATGTTTTCATTACCCTTATTGATTCTGGACACTTAAGTCTATTAAACAAACATAAACAGCCCAAATATAAATCTTATTCTAACATGATATTACGAGTTTTAATCCTGCTTTAATTCTCCATTGTTACATTTTGTTCATTAAACTTTAAGCCATTTTAATCTGCATTTATAAACATAAATGTGTTTCCATGGACAATCACCGTAAGTTATCTCCATATATCAGATCAAAATTGAAGCTTTTCCAGCAGAAACTAACCTGCAGATGCGATGAAGATGAAGATGAAGATGAAGATCACGAGAAACGAGTTGTTTGGTTGCGAACTCATTTCCGTGTTGGCTGTCTGACAGTGTAGGCCCGTTTCTACTGCCGCGACTATATGATTATAGAAAATAACAAAATACCAGAAGTTTAACTTAAAACACTAAACTTTATTATATTGTTTGTTTCTTGGGCCTCAAATAAATAAAATAACTGCCGTAGAGATTCACCGATGTCTCAAAGGTCGAGAACTGGAACAACATGCGGAAGAAGGTGGAGCAAAGCGGCTATGGCAAGCCGTTAAACACCTTATGTTGCTTTGAGGACCAAAACAATAATAATAGTTAAGTAGCTTTGTCCTTGTACCTCAGCGATGCTCCACAGGGGGTCGCAATGGCGTTCGCTCCAAAACTCCGCCTTAAAGGGACAGAGTTATGAAAAAACGGCGTTTTTCCTGCATTAAAAACATGCCTGGAGAGTTGCCTTGTTTTTTATTCATGCTTGTTTGAGAAATCCTTTAATCTCCATGGCAACCGTTCAGCTGAGCAAAACGTCTGGGTGGACCTAGCCCCGCCTCCAAGGACCTATAGCTCCTCCTCTGAGCTGCAGTCCCAGCTGAGCCTCTGCCTCACAGAGCAGCCCTTCCCCATGTCTGTCCCACTCAGCTCCTTCAGACTAGCCAGCAGCAATTAGCAAACACCTGGTGGAACTGCTGAGCTACTTCACAGAGCAATGCTGGTAAAAACGTTGGTAAAAGGTCAATGGAAGAGCCATGATGTTGTTAGCCATTCCTGTTCAGTCTGCTGACTGTGGTCTGAAGACACAGGGGAGGTCTTCCTCCAGGGCCGAAGTCTCTACTTCGGGGTTAACTCCCTCACACGCCTTGAACATGAATCATTCGGTGGCTCAGAGGTAGTTGGAGGTAACTTTTAATCGCTCTAGCTAACAGGTGAAAGCTGCACAGACGTTTCTTACAGCCGCTGCTCCGGTCGTCGTCTACATTTACTCCGCCACACACACCGTCACCCACTCACTCCTCAATCATGTCAGTTTCAGTACGCAGCGCCCCCTTTAGACCGGAGGACAACTCCCATACATCTCATTCACCCACACACAACATACACACAATTCACTGAGCTAATCATCACATACAGTGGAGGCACTTTCTGCAACAATGTGATGACTTCCTGAAGGTGGGCCCAACTTAAAGACGTTAA